TCTCTTGGCACTAATCTCTTTGCTAATTACCAAGTCTAGAACTAATTCTCATTAGTGAAATGATAAAGTGCAAGCATTAAGACAAATCTATCAACCCTATATTGCCAAATCACTCCCTAGACAGTCAATCTCTTGAGCTAGGATAAGCAATTCTCTTGCAAAGCAGTTCAGACATTTCATCAAACACTTGGTGGGCATAAAATGAGCCTAAGATCTTAATCAACTTAGCTTGGGCTAATTAAGCATTAAACACAGCAATCAAGAAAGAAAATAGAAGAATTAACACTAAGCAATCATAGATAAAGTCTCAAATTCCCTAAACCTAACCCATCTCAAATCCCTAAAAAGAAAGCAAACACAAAAAAGCAAGGTTCAAGACTAAAGTGATAGCAAAGTGAATCATGCTTATGGTTAAGGGATCAAATCAAATTAAGAACAATTCAACTCTAGATAAGGACATCTAAAACAAGACAAGCTACTTTGTTCATTGGCATGTCAAACCCATGGTTAGTGGTGTATTTACCAACAAACAAGCAAGAAGCACAAGGTCCATAAAATCTAACAAGTTTTCATACCTTCACTTTTGATGGCTTGTGTGATTATTTATCACTTGCTGAAATATATCAGACAAATACTCACAGGTTAGGTTTATTGCAGTTATCTAAGGGCAACTTTCCACCAATGGGTGATGCAAAGACTCATGACATTCTAAGCATCTATTTCAAGACTTAAACCATTAAGACATTTCATCAAACACATGGAGTGCAGGATAAAACGCCCAGGATTCTTGTCTAATCCAAAGAGGTACTAGGCATTAAAGATCAATTCAGCAAGAAGAGGAATGGGATCTAGCAACCTAACACATCAAACATCCAAAAGAAACACTTTTGCATCACAAAAAATCATGAATCTCTAAAATAACTCAAACCCCAAAGAGCAAATTCGAAATTAATAAAAGTAAGAGCAAGACTAAAGATTAAAGACTTATGATTAAAAGAAGAAGAAAACATAAATAAAAGTATACACAAGTGATCCAATCTCAATCCACAAAGGATTTGTTCTTGTTCTATGAAAAACCAAAGCAAAACTTTGGGGAAGAGAAAGGATAAGAGAAAATAGATCTAGGTTTAGCTATTTATAGGGAACATCCCCAAAATAGCCCTAGGAAGCAAAAATAAAAAAAAGTCAAAGATGGTCAAAGAGGCGTTTCAGACAAAAACCTATCGATCTGAAGGAAGGAGGTAGGAGATCGATGTGGTGATCGATAGAAACTTCTGGTTGCGAACAGTGATGCTTGAACCGCCGTATCTTTTGAAATACTGATTGAATTGACATGATTCAACCTCCGTTCGAAATCTTATACGATCCTCTACAACGTCTATGAAGGACGTGGAGGCTGAATCTCACCGGAAGACCTTCGTTTTGACCCATATATTTCATATCGATCTGCACATCGGGCAGATTTCTCTAAGCTTTGGTCGATACAGGACTTTGGTGCAGCCTAAAACCCGTCATCATGGCTATTTTTCTTGGTTCTTCATGTCCTCATCATTCATCATTCTCCAAATGTCTTCCTTGCTCCATTTAGACCTGAAAAAGACTCCGAACAATGCAAAACATGCAAATGTCTAACCTTAAACCTATTATGTCTAATATGAATGCAAATGTGACAAAATATGATGAATGAATGCATGAAAGATACCAAAAACTAAACTAAATGCAAGCTAAAACAAGGTAAATTATGAGGATATCAACACAAATTGATACAAGGGTTTTACCCCTTGTAGGACAATTGCCCTAGCTTGTACTAGTCAGTTGCAGTATAGCATAGGGTTGTATCAATCCAAATGGGAAGAGTTGAAAGACAGAAGAGTTGAGAGTGGAATCTCTAAGTCAAGCAAGCCAAGAAAGAGGTTTTGTTGCCTAAGCAACAGTTCTAACAACCTAAGTGAAACAGGCAGCAACAAGGTGAAAGCAAAAACAAACTAAGCAATTCTAAGCAAGAAAAACATAGCAAAACAGAGCAAAACAGAGCAAATTCGAAATTCAAATGAGAGAAAGACAAGTTCCTAGATGTGGTTATTGACTTTGGGGAATTTCAGACATTGATTAAGGCTGTTTCAAACTACATTGATCAAGCAAGTAAGAAAGCAATGGTGGTTCCTAGACATAGAGTTCACAACTAAGCTAGTTAGATCCAATCTCTTGGCAAATAACCCTTTGCTAAACATCTTAACAAGAACTAACTCTCATTAGTGCTAAAACATCAAGCAAGCAAGACTAACCAACTCTATTCAAGTCAAAATGCTCCTCAAACAGTCAATCTCTTGAGCCAAGGCCAGCAAATCCTCTATTAAATAGGTTCAGCATTTCATCAAACACTTGGTGGGCATAAGAGAAAGCTAACAACCTAGACCAGTTTGATCAAGATTAATCTAGCATGAATAACAGATTAATAGAGAGGAACCCATAAACAGAAGCACATAACAAGCCTTAATCAAGCCATAGATTCCCCTAATCTACCACATCTAGAAACCCTAAGGTAACTACTCACTCATAATCATGTTTAACACCAAATCACAAAGGGAGAAGATGCTAATCATGATTAAAAGAAAAATTAAAGAAAAATTAAAGCAAATACTTGATTGTATTAAACAAAGCAAAGAAATTGTCTTACAAACTTAAAGAAATAGCTTAAGAACAGTATTTTGACAAGACCTCTCGAAAATATAGAAAAAGGGGCTATTTATAGCCTAAGGGAGAAAACCCTAGAAAGGTGGCAAAAGTGTAATTAAAAACAGGTTCGGCTGGATCAGTATTGGTCAGTTGTGTCGACCTCCAGTGACCGAAATTTATCTGTATCGGTCATCAGTGATCGACACACACGACCGAAAATATAACGGTGTGTTTGTGTCGACCTCATCAGACCGATACTGGTGATCGATACTGCTCCATTTCGGTCACCAGAAACCGAAAATCAGGCTCTGACCAAAAACTTCTGCAGAGATCTTCTGCTTTGATCCTTCTTGCTCCCTTTTGTCCAGCTAGCCTCCTGGATCATTCCCAAAGCTCCTCCAAGCTCCTTTAAGCTCCAAAAGCACCTAAAAACATCCAATATGCAAGGAAAATGCAATCTACACTCCTAATGCAACCTAAGTCTAAAAGGAGAAGAAAATGGGACAAAAGCTAAGGGAAAATATGCAAAAGAGAACCAAAACATGTTATAAATGTAGCCCTAAATGGTGTAAATACAAGGGATATCACATGTCCTCCCATCTTTGATGCCAGTCCTGTGCTTCGACATCGTGATCTTCTGCGGGAGGACCTCGATCTTGCTTTTTGGCTTCAAGCCCACCGGCTCGAAGTTCTCTGACTCCACCTCGGAGTCAATGTCCGGATGGTTCAGCGAAATCTCGTCCTGATAACCGGAAGACCCCTCAGAATTAGAGGGAGAAGAAGGCATTGGGCTAACCCAGGCTCGCCTCGCGGCGAGAGAAATCTCATCGTCATCAAAGGAGGAATTTTGCGATGAAGTCGACATTTTTCTTTTAAGAAATTTCTGGGTGGATTACAAAAGCAAATGGTGGATCGGCAAAAAAAAAAGATTATTGCAGCAAAAAGAGGATTTCGCAGAACAGGAGAAAGTAAATATTCTTTGGAGCAAGAAGACGAAGAGATAAAGACTAAGTAATAAAATCAGAAGGAAATATCAACAGTTTCCTAAAGGGATGCGTGTCGAGATTCGCACAATATCACCGTCTGTCAAACTTTTCGCCTTTCCCGCTTAGAGCAAAATCCTAAATGGGTCGGAATATTTAATAAATTATTCTGAGGAAGCACCACGCGTCAAATCTATTTTAATCGGGCTGAGCTGGCCGTCGCGAAGAAACGCTCTTGACGAGCTAACCCTTATTGCGAGATCAAACCCGCTTAACTTCATGAAGTCTGCCGAACTGATTTACAATCAGTTTAGGGGGAGGGGGGACTTACAGTTAGAGGGGAAATGAGCACATTTCCTAAAAAGCTTTCTCTAGCAATAACCTAAGCCCACCAAGACCAAGAAGACTATGCTGACCTAGCTCGGAAAAAAGGAAAACTACTAGAAATAATCTTCGAAGTCCGGAAGCATCGGATTGACTCGAAGGCTAAAGGAGAATTTCCATATTCTTCGGAGAATAAGGGATATTTCCATATCGCAAAAATATCAAAATATTAACCAAAGGGAAAAAGAAAAAGGAGTTCGGAGCAACCGACCTCCTATCCCTATAAATAAGAAGACCCCAAAGCTGAAGAGAACAACTCATACAATCTAGAGAGCAGCACAGCAATAATCAAGAACTCCAACGCTTTCTAATTTACTTTGCAAATACTTTCTTTTCACTTCGGCATAACCTCTCAGTTAAGTCATCTCTTGTAATCGCTTCGTCTTAAAGCTATTAATAAAAAGATCTTATTCTCTGAAACCCACAACTGTTAATCAAATTCTTAGTGGTGATTTTCTGGTTCAATGTCTACCGTTAGACCTCTTTGATTTATCTGAAATAGCAGAATGCAAAACTTGAGCCTAATAACCAAGCAAACTGTCCTTTATTTTACTTTCGTAAAGAATAGCTACTTTGGATATCTTCGAAGCATTTGGTTAAGGGTGTTCCAAACCGTAAACATTAGTTGCAACGTGAGATCTGATATTTGAGCTTTTACAAGAAAGAAAAGAAGGCTCAAGAAACATGACAACCGACACACATACAAAATAAAAGGCAATGTGACGTGACGTAAATGTAACGTAGATCTCTAATTAGGTTTTACTCACATCGTTTTGCATATAGACCACATAACTCCATAAAATCCATCACTAAAGTACAACCATCCGATCTCAAAATATGAGCGAAGAACTCCTTCAAAATGAATCGCATTCCCAGTCATCGAAATTTAACATTTTTCTCAAATTTTTATCTTTTCTCATCCCATTGGTTGACGTTATTAAGCTAGTTATTGCTTCCATGACCTCCATAGTCTTCTTAGTCTTTCCCGGTCTAACACTTGCCGGTTCAGCCGTGGCATTAGTCTTATCCACACCGCTTTTCCTCATATTCAGTCCGATTCTCGTACCCGCCACTATAGCCACTACCCTCCTAGTCAGTGGGCTCACAGCCGGGGCCACCCTCGGACTGACTGCCATTGGCCTCATCATGGGGCTCATTAAGTAATATGAAAAAGAATAATATATATTCAAATCACTCGAGATTTTTGATATATACGCACATGCATGTATATAGTAACCTTGTTGCCTAGGTCTTGGATGTCAGATTAAATAAATATTTAGAAGCCACATTTAAAAGTGATCGTAGGTTCTGATAATTTTGATTTCTCAATATTGGATTCGATCAGCTCACCACATATCCTTTTCTAAAACCATTCGGAAAATTTAACTTAATTCTCTTTCTCTGTTTTGCATATATACGAACCTTATATGCTACCTATTAGCTGCATTTTCTTTCACGATATTTCCCATTTTTCTTGAAACATCACTTGAAGAACCGTTAATGTGATAGGACGGCGAAAGGAACTTCGTAAGCCCAAATCCCGTTAAAACTGCTTAAGTTTTCAGGAGGGTATGGAGGATCTTGGGGAGGAAAAACATTTTCTGGAACATTTGGAGATAAATCGGCGGGTAGAGCTGCACCAGCAGCGGGTGGAGGTAAACCAGGAGGTGGTTTCACATGGTCTTGGGATGGAAAATCCTTCTCTGGAACAATTCCAGAATGGATAAAAAATCAACCCTGGTTTAAAAATATACCCATGGGTGGAGGTACACCAACGGGCGGTGGTGCACCTGCAGCTGGTGATGCACCTACGGCTAGTGATGCAGCTCCGGGTGAAGCTAAACCTGCCGGTGGAAGTACACCCCCATCGTAAAGGACAATATTGGTCGAGCTTTTCCAACATGAAATAGGTTTAAAACATGCAATAGGTTACACATATTTCTAAATCAAACATATCATTTAAATATACAACACTATTAGATTGACTGCTTCTGGTTAAAAAATTTAACAAAGGAAACAGTACACAAGTAACTTTACACTAACAAGTAGTAAAGTATGATTTTTTATACATAGTTACTACATATATTTAATCCAACATAAACAATACATGAGTAACACCTTTCAAATTTCTATTTAAATAATTAAGTATGATAAAGTTGTGAATTAAACTCAAATTTAAATATCTAGATAGACTATTCAAATAATATTAAAACACCAAAAAAGTAGTAAAAATTAATTAAAGACTTCACATCATCCCACATGTTTAAACCAAAATTATCAAATAGTAAACTACAAATAAAACAGATCTCAATGATAACTAAATAAAGATAAAAACTAGAATTCGTGAAAGATATGGTGGACAAGCAAGAAGTGGCTTTGCACGATCATTGCAGCTTTCTAACAAACCTAAATGCGAATCAACATGAATTACAGATTTTATCCGCATAGGTACACAATGAAACATTTATTCAAAAAACTAAATTTATGAACACATAAACCTTAAAGAAAGAAGAACTATAAAAATCTCAAGGAAAAAAAATATAACACCAAAATCATAGTAAGAAAATCTGTGCACGTCAAAGTTTGAAAATTAGATAGATATCATAATTATTATTTTACTTAATAAGATTAATAAAAAGATATAAAAAAAATTACATAAATTGATTGTAGTTTTGATGATTTAAAAGAAATTAGATAAAAAAGTAATAATACAGAAAAAATAAAATTAAACTAAACTAATAATAAACACTAGAGCATATAGCGCGGATGAAAAACCTAATCTATAATATATAAAAGTTGATGGTATAGTGCATTGATGACGTCCACATAAGATTAAAAAACTCAATTTGATTGGTTCACATCAGCATTTTTCATTAGACAATAAAATGTTAAATATGATTAGTAATTTGAATAAATTAAAATACACAAAAAAGGAAATCATCATGGTAGAATGAAAAATAAAGATAAAAAAAATTTTAACTAACAAAACTGATAAAAGAAGTTATGTCAGAAATCCAAATTTATAGCGTTTGTCAAAATAAAAGGGATACTAAATGTCACAAAACCTAAACAATAAAAAAAAAATATGTAAATCTATAAAGAAAAAGTTAATTTAACAAAAGAAATTTAAATATACTTTAAATGAAAAATTTATTTAAATTTAGCTTTACACTAACTATTAAAAAAATATATAAAAAATCTATAACGAAAAAGTTAATTTAACAAAAGAAATTTAAATATACTTTAAATGAAAATTTTATTTAAATTTAGCTTTAAACTAACTATTAAAGAAATCAATATAAAAAACTAAAGATTTAAAAGAACTATTTAAGAAAGTAATATAAAAATGAACAAAAACAAATAAAATGTAAATTATGTTTTATAAAATGTTAATACAATTAAAATCGAAATTAATATCAAAACAAAATATTTAAAAAATCGTTGAAAAACAGATTGAGTTTATATATATGCTAACTATTTAAAAAATCAATATAAAATAGTTTCATTAACAAAAAAGAGAAAATTAACTGTAAAAATGTGAATATTTACAAAACAGTTACGTTTCAAAATTAAATACGAATCAATATAAAAAAAAGTAAACTAACAAAGGAAAAAAAGTCATATAAAAGACTAACTTGATATTTAGGATAATATGTTTTTTTTAAATTAACATAAAAATATATAATATATAAAAGTTGATGGCATAGTGCATTGACGAAGAAACTCAATTTGATTGGTCCGCATCAGCATTTTTTATTAAACAAAAAATGATAAATATGCTTAGTAATTTGAATAAACTAAAATACACAAAAATAGAAAAATATCATGGTAGAATGGAAAATAAAGATAAAAGCATTTTAACTAACAAAACAGATACAAAAGAATTATGTCAAAAATCCAAATTTATAGCGTTTGTCAAAATAAATGAAAACTAAATGTCACAAAACTTAAACCAATAAAAAATAAATATATAAATCTATAAGGAAAAAATTAATTTAACAAAATAAAGTTAAATATAATTTAAATGAAAAATTATTTTAAAGTTAGCTTTTAAACTAACTATTAAAAAAATCAATATAAAAAATCTATAACGAAAAACTTAATTTAACAAAAGAAATTTAAATATACTTTAAATGAAAACTTTATTTAAATTTAGCTTTAAACTACTATTAAAGAAATCAATATAAAAAACTTAAGCTTTAAAAGAAGTATTTAAGAAAGTAATATAAAAATGAACAAAAACGAATAAAATGTTAATAAAATTAAAATAAAGATTAATATCAAATCAAATATTAAAAATCATTGAAAAACAAATTGAGTTGATATATATGCTAACTATTTAAAAAATCAATATAAAAGAGTCTCATTAACAGAAAAAGGAAAAATCAACTGTAAACATGTTAATATTTACAAAATAATTATGTTTCGTTGACAAAAATAAACAATTATGTTTCAAAATTAAATAAGAATCAATAAAAAAAAAACTAACAAAGGAAAAAAAGTCATATAAAAACACTAACTTGATATTTTAGGCTAACATTTTGTAAAAATTAACATAAACAAAATCAATAACAGAAAGCTAAATTAGCAAAAGATTTTTTAAAACATATATACTTTAAATGAGTAATTTTTTAAAATTTAGTTATAAAATAACTATTAAAGGAATCAATATTAAAAATAAAGCTTTAAACAAACGATTTAAGAAATTAATATAAAAATAAACAAAAACAAATAAAATATAAATTATGTTTTACAAAATGTTAACACAGTTAAAATTGGTATTAATAACAAAAACAAATATTAAAACAATCATCTAAAAAAATTAACTTGATATATATGGTAACTATTTAAAAATTTCAATATAAAAGAGTCTCATTAACAGAAAAATTAAAAGAAAATTTTCTGTAAAAATATCAACATTTACAGAAAAATTATGTTTCAAAATTAAATAAGAATCAATATAAAAAAATTAAATTAACAACGGAAAAAGTCATATAAAAAAATTAACCTAATATTTAAGCTAATATTTTTGAAAACTAATATTAAAAACAAAAACAAATGATGCAGTAATATTTTGAGAGAAGTCGACATAAGATTTAAAATGAACAGTTATAGTATATCAAATCAATATTATAAATAAAATAAAAACTAATATTCAAAAAGCAAATTTAAAAAAGACTAAGCATCTAAGTGAAATAAATTAACTTGATATCTATGCTAGCTATTTTGAGAATCAACAACCAAAAAGTTTAGTCATAAAAAAATATAAATCCTAAGTATATCAAACATACAAAAAAAAAATTAAAAAAAAATATAAATTTACTATCAAAAGATGTAAAGTAAAAGATTTTTAAAGTATTGGTATCTACAACTAAAAACTATATAAAGTTGCAATAGGTTTACATAATTTTTTTAATCAAACATATTCTTTAATTATACAAAAGTTAATACAGTATGTGCTTCTGACTTAAAAATTAACAAAAAATACTATATAAGTAACTTTACACTCGAAATTTAATAAGCCGCAAAATCTGATTTTTATATATATCAACTACTTATATCTGAGCCAACATTAATAACATATGAGTAACACCTTCTAAAATTGTATCTAAATAATAAAATATGATAGAGTTAAGAATCAAACTCAAATTGATATATCTAGATAAAATATTCAAAATCAAAATATGCAGAAAGCACACAGAAGATAAAAACAGTAAAAGAAATATGAAGACTGCACACCATTCGTCCTACAAGTTTAAAATCTAGAATTATCAAATATTAGACTGGCAACAAAAATTTCTCCATGATAAACTGAATAAAGATATAAAAATAAAACTCATGGAAGACATGATGGAGAAGTAGGAAACGGCTTTGTACGATCATTGCAGTTTCAAACAAAACTAAATGTGAATCAATATGAATCATGAATTATATATATATGCATAGGTACACAACATCAATGAGATATTCAAGTAAATAATTAAAATTTTAATATATAAACCTTACAGAAAAAAAAAGAAATGTAGAATTTCTATGGAAATAAACAAAACACAAAGATCTTAGCAAAGAAACCTTTCTCTAAATCAAACGTGTGTGCATGCATACATCAAAATTAGATAATTTGATAAGCGTCATTGTTATTATTTTATTTAGTAAGATTTAATTTTTTATAAACAAAAAATTGGGGAAAACTACATTTTGTATTTTAATTTCTCTTATATAAAAAAGAAATTATATATATAAAAATTAATAACTTAAAAAAAAATTAAACCAAACTACTGATACAGACTCGCGCGTAGCGCGAATTAAAAACCTAGTCTATTATATATAAAAGTTGATGGCATAGTGCATTGAGGACGTCCACATAGGACGAAGAAACTCGATATAATTGGTCCAAACCAGCATATTCATTAAATAAAAAATGTTAAGTATGATTAAAATATTAAAACATTAATTTCTAATTTCTAAAACATTAATTTTGTTTTATATATGAAAAAATTAAAATTAAAAGATTAAGCAACAAATAGAAAAGAAAATAATGTTAAGAAAAAATATAGTATCTTTCAATTAAATGGAAATTTAAAATCTATAATATATAAAAGTTGATGGCATAGTGCATTGAGGACGTCCACATATGACGAAAAAACACGATATGATTTATCCACATCAGCATATTCATTAAATAAAAATGTTAAGTATGATTAAAACATTAATTTCTAATTTTTAAAACATTAATTCTTTTAATATATGAAAAAAAGATTAAGCAACAAATAGAAAAAAATTAATATTAAAAAACAAAATATAGTATCTTTCAAAATTAATTGGAAATTTAAAATCAAAAGAATTAAACTAACAAAAAAACCAATAAGGTAA